TCACGAATATAGTATGAAGGCTATTTATAGACAGCGTTTTCTTGGCAGACTAATTAAGAATGAGGAAAAGAGTGAGACAACCTTGATAAATGAAGAATAAAGGAGAAATGGATGACTCTCTCCAAGGTGTTCCTTGACACAGCTCTGTCCTTGAAAGAAGCAGCAAAGGAGGAATGTGAGGCAGTATGGGCATGAGGGGGAGAGTGGCAGAGAGAGGCACTGAATGAGCCCATTTCCAGACCAGGCGGCCATTGCAGCAAGAGGACACCATGGGACGTGGACTCAGGAGAGGGTAGAAGACCAAGAAAGGGAGGAATGCGACAGTCTGGCGTCCATCCTTCCTGCTGCAGCCATTTAGGTGGTGGACCCACAGTAGGATGCTTCATGCTCTCCTTCAACCTGGTGAATTCAGCACCTGCTCTGTGTCAAACAAGGAGTCAGCCACCAGGGATATGTGGCGCACCTCCTGCTGGCTGTTTGCTCTCGGCCCTTCGGACTTACCAAGGCCAGCTCACAAATGCCAGCTGTGAACACTCAGAGCCCCAGGGCACTCTACCCAACTCTAGTCCTGGCAGGCTTCCAACTCACCTGCATGGTTTTCTGCCTTGCTGCATTGTGAAGGATCAACAGAAGTTTATCAAACAAACAAATACTGAGGTAGTCGCTGTGATTAGAGGGAACCACATGGTCAAAGGAGGAGGAGCATGTTCCAGGAGCCGGAGACGTGCAGTGTCTCTGGTGCCTAGGATGGAGAGGCAGGTGGGCAGGTGAGGAGGGCGCATGCGCAATGGAAGGGATGAAAGTCATCAAAGTGTTCAAATTAGGGAGTCATCACCTGGGCAGACTTCGGCTATAAGGAGCCCAACCTGGCTGTAATCTGGAGGACAGTCAGTGACTTATCCAGATTTTCTGGGGCCTAAAGATTATCCAATTTGTTAAGCAAAAGAATTCAAAACTAGGAATATATAATTAGGTACAAAAATGAACTCATATTTAGAATGAGAAAATAAACCACAACAAAATACAAATTTTAGAATGTTAAAAAACACCACAAACACAGGTTAAGACATGGAAATTCCAATAAATCTCATTTTGCAGAATTCTCAGTGAAAGAGAAAAAAATGGTACGGTACCTTTGTAATTGTGCACCCAGCAGGATGTCCTATATTCCCAAGAGGAGAGAGCTTCTGCTTTGACCAGTTGTCATTGAAAATAAATTCCTCTGCTTGCAATTTTATATATCTGACGTTTGGAAGAATCTTCCATAGACTGGCTTCCTGCTTCATACATTTTAAACTTTGCTTCTCCTTGACTCTCCATAAATGCCTGGTGCCAGGTGCTATAGGACACACTCATATCTACTTTCTGTCAGAGCTGGGGCATCTGCACAATGAGCCAGAGGAGTGTTCCTAGGAGTCCCCCCGACACCAGGATGGCCAGCAAGAACTTGACAGCCTTTGGAAACTACTGCTAAACACAGAAGTATCCCCTAGTAAACCCAAACCAACGTCTTCCCAACTCTACTTGCCTTTAGCTAGAGCCCCAAATGCCCACGACCCCAACAGTAGAGGTTGGAGAAGTTGGAATGGAAAAAGAAAGTCTTAACCAATCATGGTTAGATAGCTCTTACTCTTCACGCATTTAGAAAAAATATGCACCATGTGTACACATTGCTAGGGCTCCTCTGGCTCTTGGAAGGATGCTGTGCCAGTGAGAAGCTCTGAGGTTGAAGCTTGTTGGTGTATTAGCTACAAGGCGGATCCTTCTCTGAGGATATTGACCGTGATCTGACTGTAGCTGAGGACACCCGTCTGGAGGAACAGTAAATGATCTAAGGCAGTTGTAGTCAAAGAACAGATGTGAACGGCAAGTAGCAGGTAGAAGCAGAGTGATTTGGCGATGATTCGAGATGGAAGATGACAAAGGAAAGAATGTGGCACCATCCGGTTTGGTGCCAGCCTCTCTTAATTTGTCCAAATATTCAAGACCCAATTATGATGTGCCAAGCAGGAAGCTCACTGTCAAGCAGAGGGGAATGTGTATCACCAGCACTCTGACAGCATTGGCCAACCTCAGCCACGACGTCTGTTTCTGTGATAAGAAGTATAGGATCTTTTTCTTTGTTCTTATGAGTGAGACCCCCCAGGAGGATGCATCTGGACACTCTACCTCCCAGGACACACCCCTCTATTGGCTCTTTTTGATCCAAAGTATGCTTTTTCCACCACCTGGCCCCAGCCCAGTCTCACGCAGAGGTGGAAAGATACACAGAACTTCAATTTGCAGGGGCGAACAGTGTGACGCAGTTTTAAAATTTTGAAATTACATCTTTTTGGCCTGATTTCCCTCTCTGGACCCCCAAAATAGTAATAACGCCAGCTGAATGCAGACAAGAAGAAGAAAACCCATCAATTAGCCCACGGACATGATCCTGGTACCCTGGAGGGAAATTGAGCAAGCATTTTTCCATCCTTGGGGCTACGCTCTGAAGGGGCCCTGCACGTGAGGACATGAAAGCCAGTGAGAAGGGAAACCCTACTGAAAATTTTAGATTGGCTATATAAAGATTCCTCTCCCACAGGCGCTCAAGCTTTGCACAAATCTTACAGCAAACATACTCTTTTCACAAGAAGACTTTTCTTCTTCTCCTATAATCCCAAAAGGAGAACTTCTGGATGTCCCATAATGAATAAAACTGCTGATAGGAATGGAAAAAGTTTATGAAGGATTTCTAAACCCAAAATACCATATGTGGAGTCAGAACGTTTTATTTATACCTTTCTCTGATACTTCGCCCACGCACACAGGATTAAGGAAGAAATATATGGCTGCCTGCTGGTCCAGAATTCTCCCAGGCCTTCCCCACCAGCCTGAAGGGAACACTGTTGATCCAGGGCCAAATAGTGATCTGTAGCCCAAAATTTCTTTTCAAGTTGAAAGCAAAAGTAATAGAGAATAAAATTTAAAATAGTAAACATCATCCCGTATATTTTGTTTTTGTCTCAGCCTACAAATAAAAATAAGCCTAAGCGGCCTCTTCTGGCATAAGATTACAGGTTGAAAAATAAATCCACAAAGTATATCACATAATAAGATAAAAATAATTAAGAATAATCTATTTCCTTTTAAAAACCTTGATGGATAACCTTTAAGATGTTCTGAGGGTTGTGTTCAGGCCACACACATGATGAGCAATATTTTTTCTCCCTTTTTTACAAAAAAAGAAAGTTAATTTTACTTAAAATAGAGGAAGGTCTGTGGGTCTTACATTTAAGCATTTTTTTATCACACAAAATTATCTCTAACTATTTCAAGGAAATGAGAACAAAAGCCAGACACACAGCGGCCTATGTGCACATACATTAGTGATGCTGCGGACAAGGAGAAAAGGCTCAGGGGCCCCTGGCAGAAATAAAAGCTCTGTTCTGGCCTTCTGTGACTCCAGAGCTTGTGTGGAACCAGAGCTTTGAGGGAGTGACAAAATCTACTAGGAGCACAGAATTCCAATTCCAGTCTAGGCTTCACCCCGCCTTCCACTCAGGAGTCCATATGTAACTTTGACCTCAGCCATGTTCCTCCCTTCATCCTCTTTTCCCACTGGGTATGGAAATGGAATGAAGGAGCCACACAGAGCCTGCCTTACGGACAGGGAAAAGAGCGTGTCCCCGTCCTGAAGAGCATCCTCTTCTCTGCGATGGGGTGGAAGGAGCAGAAAATGCTCGGCCCTTAGAATCTCTGTTACAGCGTGGCACTCCCTTTGGGGTGAAGTATGACTGGAATAAGAGTGAGGTGCGAAGGCGAGACTGCTGTCTACTATGAGGCAGGCAACGTCACGGCTGTTTAGACACAGTCTACTCTAATTCTCACCACAACCCTAGGAGGCGGGCGCTACATTGTCCCCATGAATGTCAAGTAAATGGAGGTTAAGAGACGTTAAATGATTCACCTAGATTGTCCCATAAGATGGTTAATTTTATGTGACAATTTGGCTAGGCCATGGTACCCAGATATTCGGTCAAACACATGTCTAGATGTTGCTGTGAAGGTGTTTGTTAGACGTGATTCACAATGAAATCAGTAGACCCTAGTAAAGCAGATTACTCTTCATAGTGGGTAGGCCTCATCCAACCAGTTGAAAATCTTAAGGGAGAAAAGACTGAGGTCCCAGAGGAAGGTGGGAATTCTGCCTCCAGACTGACCTTGGACTTGAGCTGCAACCTCAGCTCCTCCCTGGGTCCCCAGCCCACCATCCTGCCCTGCAGAATTCTGACATGCCAGCCTCCACAATCATGTGAGCCAATTCCTTAAAATAAATCTCGATCTTTCCCCTCCTTCTCCCCCTTCCTTATCCTCACCCAATCTCCTATTGGTTCTCTTTCTCTGGAGAACCCTGACTGACATAGCCCGCTGCTACTGGACCGGGGACTCAAGGACAACGCCCCTGCTGATTTCATGGTCACTGGGAGACTTGCAGACACTGCATTTAAGCCACTTCTTCATTCATTCAGGACATATTTATAAAGCACCTACTATGTGTTTAGGGTTATATTAGATTCCAGAAATCCCACAGAACAATATAAGCATGGTCCCTGCCCTCCCAGAGCTTAGGAATGACCGCCAAGGAATCGTGCAATTACAAGGGACAGCAGGAGTCGAGGGTTCCACAGAAACAGGGAAGGAAGTCAGCAAATCCATAGCTGGGGGGTTAGGAAAGGCCTCTGAGAGGGAGAAGATATTTCCATTGGACCTGGAGAATGAATTTGACTTTGCCAAATGAGAAAGGGGAAGACTGTTCATGCAGAAGAAACTGCGTGTGCAAAGATTCATAGGTGAGAGAGGGTGAGAATCTGAAGGGGGCCCAGTAATCCGACGGCATGGAGTAACACAGGCTGAGAGCAGAGATGGGCTGCAGCCAGCAGAGCCAGCTCCCCTTTTGTGACCTGTTAAGGCCTGTTAGGGCTTTGGACTTTAGCCCGGAGGCAAGAGAGAACCTGGAAGCACTTTCTGTGGCGTCACAGTTAAGGATAACCGTAGCTGAGGGTGAGCAAGATGAGGGGAGGGGACGCCAACCAGGTGGCTGGAATTGGAGATGAGAGAAGATGCAGTAGGTGAGACTGAGCCACACCTGGTGATTGGATAACCATTATGAGCTGGGGGACGGGCAGGAGGGGTCATGGGGAGGAGGAGCAGTCTGAGGAATAAAGACAGCAAATGAAACTTGGGTTTGTTGAGTTCGAGATTTCTGGGGGACACGGAGAAAGATGTCCTGATACCCCACGCTCCCCACTTGTCTCTCCTCGACTTCTCCTGCCTCCTCCCTCCTGCTCCAGGAACCACCCAGCCACGTGGCTGACACCTAGAGAGCGCCCTACACACACGGGGATATCGCAGAGGTCTCTGTCCCCTTCCGCCAGAGACCAAGCAGGTCTATGACTGCAGAAGAGTCCTAAATCTCCACCTGTTCATGGAAATGAACTCTCCTCCCAAATCGTCAGCCTTTGCTTTTGCTGAACATTTATCCATTTGGGGACATATATATTGCACAGAAATATGCATACAGGATCTTCTACCTCGATTTGACCAAGAGCGGTCCTGAGCTGGCTGGCCACACACGCCAGTCCTTCCGTCTAGGGGCTGGAGGCAGGACTGAGGAAGCCAGCCCCTGCAGCACGGATGCTCACGGTCTCGACGGGGCCCTGAAAGCCCTACCTCCAGAGCCGAGAATGAGTATTCCTGACGCAGCCACTGGCTCTCTGCCTCCCCACAGGCCTCGGCCGGCCGCAGAGCAGGGCTTCACCCCCTGACTCTGCAGTATGCTCCCAGAATTTCCAGGCGCCCCCTGACCTCCGGACAGAGGCTCCGGGGACCACTGAGTGCATGTGGCCTCATAAGGGATGACTCGGCTCTTCTGTGAATGCCCCGGGCTGGGCTGTCTAAGTGCCTTTGGCAATGGCCGAGGGGAGGCTGACGCTGCAGAGGAATAGAAGCTACAGCTCCTTAGAAAATGTGGGGCTGGCTTCCCGGGAGACCCCGCAAACCGGGCAGTGGAACCCTATCGGGGGGGCGCTCTCTGGGCATCTTTCTACCCCAAGTGGCTTCCAGGGGGCGCTATTTCCTCTTAAGCCATCAAGAGCAGAGTGTGTGTCTGTGCGTGTGTGTGTGTGTCTGTGTGTTCAAATTTGGGGGGTTGAGGGTGGTGGGTACAAAGTAAGAAAAAAGGAGAAGGAGAAAGGGAATAAGTTCCCCATCTTTCCTCTCCAGCTTAAATCTCAGCGTTGCGTTCAGAGAGTTTCCAGGACGGAATTCAAGGCAGGCAGCAAAGTCATCTTTTTCTGATCGCAAAACCCTTTAAACAGAGCAATTCATCGTTGTGCAAGCGCAGAGCCTCGGTTGCTCCCGATGTGTTCACCGTCGCTTCTGGTCGCCCTCCTCCGCTGGCCCTGCCCCGGGGCGCAGCCTCCGCTCCCGCAGCGCGCCTGCCGGCACAGCTCACTGCCCGCGGACGGGGTCGACGGAGGGGTCGGTCCTGGCTCCCGGTCCCCAGGACGGGGCGGGTCCCCGGAGCAGAGCCCAGAAGGCCGGCTCCCACTCAGGCATGCAAGCGGGGCCGTCCCGACCGGGCCTGCCCGGAATGGCCTCCCCGGAGGCGCTGGATTCCCCTGCAGCCTGGCCAGATGTCTCAGCTCAGAAGCTGTCCCTTCCTGGCCTGAGGGCTTCGTTCACTGATCTGCGAGCCTGCGGCAGCCTTGGCCCTGCCGCAGCTCCTGCTCTGCCCACTGACTAGGCAACCAGCAAAATGCGTTTCTGGCTGGAAATGAGGTTCCCTTACTCTCCCTGCCTTCCCCGGGGTGAGGCCAAGTAGGAGGGAGAGCCAGGCTACGTAGGCGATAAAGCAACGGCTTAGTCCCGGATTCTTTGGTTTCAAGAAACAGAAACCCTCTCAAGCTAGCCCTAGCCCTGTCATATCAGGGGGTCTCTTCTTGGGACCTTGTCCCCGTGGATGCTGCAGATCATATGACTGTTTTGGTTCCCTGTTCACAGGCTGTAGAGCAAAAGGCATCGTCCTTTCTAGCAAATGCACCGAGCTGTGACTTTGAGCTTGACACCTCAGATTAGGTTCTCACAGGCTAAGTGGCAAGAAGTGTAGACCTGGTCTGTCACTAACCATGTCTGTTCACCAGCTGCTTACCTTCGGATCCCCCAGCATCCTCATCTGTGGAAGGGAGAGGTGAGCACCAACCTCTCAAGTTGGATGTGAGGAGGGCCAACTCATGTCTCCTGACCATGCTCACTCCAACCTCCCAGCAGCACCCATGTCCCCCCCACCTGTAAGGCCCTCCTCACCCCTCTGCCACCTGCCACCTACTCTTCCAGCTCAGGCTTATGTACCCTACCTCCTTTGTGAGGCCTTCTCTAGCCAAGGCTAAATTACAATATCTACATAGGACTTTACAGTTGACAAAGTGCTATGTATACACCATCTCTTGGGCTCTTCATTGGTTCTTCTCGATTAATCCAGAGAGGTGGACAGATTTAAGAAAGTTCTTTCCACATTAGTCAGATTCTTTCCACACTAGTCAACCCTGGCTTCTTTCCTCTCCTTAGTGGTCTCTATGGACGCTCGTCTTGTCTCTCCAACAACATTCTAAACTGTTTTTAAGGTGAAGATCGCATCATTTATTATCTTCCCCATGCCACAGCATCTTCATCCAGAAACATACACGGTTTGCCACATACTTCACACTCACAATAGAATATAAGCTACCAAGTCATAAGTCATCCCCATTTCTAACATCGGGGCTTCTGGGGGCTGGTGCAGCTCTTCTGAGCATTGATCGTGGAACTGAGAGTCTGGAAGAAGCAAGAGAAAGTTTCCTTTGGTGTCTCTCCTGGACTTGAGATTGTTGTCATAGAAGCAGGAACTAATACCCAAGTGTCATGGAACACCTGTGGTTCTTATAAGCAGCTAAACCAAGAAAACTCACAGTGCTATTTTCTGGAAACAGCAAATAATCTTCTCTCCCAAAGTTTCTCTCCTTCTTTTCAGGTTTTTTTTCCCTGAAGAAAATGCAAGGCCAAGTGACAGAATATATTGTTACTCTCTTTCCACAGATGAAAAACGAAGCAAGGAGTGGTAAGCCACACCAAATATCTTTGGACAAGCTGGGGCCCCAGCTACGCCTGAAACCCAGATCTCTTGACTTCAGATGCAAGGGGCCTTGTCCTGAAAAACTTTCCAAGGCTAAACCAGCCGGAGCAAGCCTGATGGGCCAGCCATTTCAATTCTGTGAGGGGGCTGCTATCTGCAGCCTCAGGTGTGAGGGCAGCTCCCTGTAGACCAGACATCACCGACCAGGACAAGCAAGTGCTGGGGCCAGAACCACAGAGGTTGGCCCGCTCCTGGCTAGAATGCAGCCCCTGTATGTTTGGTGGGTGTCAGCACACACAACTGGCCTTCAGGAGAGAAACGCCATGAATCAGCTCACTCACAACCCCTCCTTCCTGTCTTAACTGTGTCGCCAGTGTCTGCCACAAGTAAGAGCAAAGCAGGCAGAACAAGCCTGGTACCCCTCTATTTCTGTGACTCCTCCATTGGCTGCACACTCTTCATGCCTCCTCTCCCATCTCCTGATTCCCTCGGAGCCAGCCTCCCACGCACCCAGGTATCAAGCAGTTCGTGACTTAGATATTTATTAGTTAGAAAACTTCAAGTCCATCAAAGGACTCAGCAAAGAGCAGTGGCCTTCTGGGTGTCATGTCCCATCACCATGGCACAAACCATCGAAGTGATCCAAATGGAGTGACTTCAGGGCCAATGGAGAGGATGGGGCGTTAGAATAAGTGGGGGGAAAATAGTCCTGGGCCAATCTCATTTTCTTTGAATTCTCGGATATTAGCAAAGGATGTGGCACAAAATAGAGGAGGAAATGGGAAGTAATCGTAGTTATCTTACACTTATTGAGCACTCACTGTATACCAGCTGCTGTGCTGTGTCTTGAAGTATATCTCATTATAATAACCTTCCAAGGTTTGTAATGTTATTCTCACCACTTTACAGATGAGAAAACTGAGCACAGAGAGGCTGAGTAACTTGCCCGAAGATAGTAGCTGGCGGAGCTGAGATTTGAATCCCAAGAGGCTGATTTCAAAGCTTCGTTCCTGCGGTAGACACTGCTGGTGGCCCCTATATCCTTTCTCTCCTTCTTCCTGAGTAACAGAACACCCATTGCCTCTTAGAGGTAAGACATTTACCTTAAGACTTAATGAAAGACTTAAATTTTAAGACTTAAATTTTAAGACTTAAGACTTAAATGAAAGACATTTCTCAGCCTTCTTACAGCTGGATGTGTCCCTATGAATAAGTTCTGCTGACTGCAATATAAATGGCAGAGTGATGTGGGAACTCTGGGAAGTTTCCTTCACAAGGAGAAGTCATGTACTTTTTTCTTCTCCTCCCTGTTTGGAATGTGGATGTGATTGCTGGAACTCCTGAAGCCATTTTGGACTATGAAGTAACCTTGAGAATGTCAAATTGGAGAGTTGGAAAGAGCCAAGGTCACTAGTGATGTCACACATCTGTCTTTCCAGCCCTGATTGGTCTAACTTTTATGCTTTGGGGTGGAAATAAACTTTCATCTTATTTAAACCACTACAGTCTAGTCTCTCTCATAAATGAATGAATCTTTCCTAACTAATAAACTTCCTATCCAGACATCATGCTTTCGTGGTTGCCTGATTTAATCCTCACAAATATATTGTTAGGTGGGTGGCATCCATTTTAAAGATAGGAAAAGGGAGGAATAGGGAGACGAAGTACTGGCCTTGCAATTGACCTCTGAAGTTGTGGGGAGAGGGCTGTCTCGTGGGACTGAGCCCTTAACCTGTGAGATCTGATGCTCTCTCCAGGTAGGTAGTGTCAGAATTGACTCGAATTATAGGGCATCCAGCTGGTGTCAAAGGATTGCTTGGTGTGGGATTTATAATGCTACCCAGTAACTGGTATACAGAAGTAGACATAGCACCTTTGAGAGAACAGAGGAGGAACAAAGACTCCAGCTGTGCACAGGAAAGTGCAAGAAACATTTTTATAAGGAATTAGTTGTAGTGTGCAAATACAAATAGGAATTTTCCAGGTTGGAATGTGGGCGGGTGTGAGCTGGGGCAGGATGAGGGAAGCTGTGGGCACATGCACAGCGACAAGAAAGCTGAGACGGTCAGGACACTGCAGATAATTAAGGGGCACCCACTGCAAGCTGAAGAATTGGTGGATCTGACAAGATTCTCTAATTTAAGAACGGTGTCTTTTCAAACAGAGAGGACGATTTCACTTTAAAGGTATCTTTTATTGGGGTCGGCCCTGTAGTCTAGTAGTTAAGTTCTGTGCACTCCACTTCAGTGGCTTGGGTTTGGTTCCCAGGTGCTGACCTATACCACTCGTCTGTCAGTGGCTATGCTGTGGTGGCAGCTCACATACAAAAAAGGGGAAGATTGCCACAGATGTTAGCTCAGGATGACTCTTCCTCAGCAAAAAAAAAAAAAAAAAAAAATCTTTTATTGGTGGAAAGAGTTGGAATTATATTTCAATTAAGAATTATTTCGATAAATGTGAACTGGCAACCCAAAAGTCATCTGATTGCTCTGAATACAAATGTGGGTCTATTTGTATTTATGCCCAGATTTTGGTGGCTCCAAGTCTTCTTCCGTCTGACACCCCTACCACCCACACACACAGTACCACTCTCAGACAGATCTTATGTTGCAATAGATACCTCTGGGAGCCCCCAAATGTTGCTGGAGATGCAACCCCCTGGGTCATCTGCCGCTTCCTCATGCAAAGCCCATTATTCTCCATTTCAGCTCAGGCTGTCAACACTCAGCCTTGCAGCCTCCTGCAAAGCAGCCTGAAGGAGCTCCCTGCTGGCTCCTAGGAGTGTCAGCCCGGGGTTGAGTTCCTGTAGGACGCGACAGTGGCCTCTCGGAACTCACCCCAGCTTTTATCTCCTCAGTGCAGGGAAGTGATTCGTATTCCCAAGCCCTCTCAAAAATGTACTTTGAAAACAGTTCTATCAGCTTCTGAGTCCCCCCACCCCACCCCTGCAAAGAGATGAGAAGCACAATGTCCCCCTCTGTCTTCCTCATTCTCCTCCGCCCTCAGCCTGCAAATAATGTCACATCACCCCGTGCCCCTTCCGAGGTACAAGAATAAAACCTCCTGTGTGTGAATGAAAGAAAATAAGTGAGGAGAAGCACAGGATGCTGTCTTCACCAGCAGCGTCTCCGCACCAGATGGAGCAGCCCAAAACCCCAGAAGGGGCTTGAATGCCTACTTTGGGCAAATGCAAAGGGGACAGACTCTGGACTCTCCTCTCTGGACTCAGAAAAGGAGCTGGAGACCTGGAACAGAATGCATGCAGGTTGGAGAAGGAAGTGAAAGTGGATCCCAAAGTACACAGGCAACATCGTGGTGGGCTACAAGCTGCTGGGCTATTTTATTTTATCTGGTTTTATTGGACAGAGAAGGGAGAGGAAAGGTGCATTTTAAAGAATATTTCTTTTGTTTATATTTAATTTTTGGAGTCGGTTGTTCACATGGTTCAAAATTCACAACAGATGAACAAGTTACAGTGAACGTTGTCCATCTCTGACCCCAAACACAAAGTTTCTTCCCCATAAACACCCAACATTAATCATTTTTGCATATGCTTCAAGATCCACACTCAAGCAAATATTTATTCATGTTTTCCCTTTTCTTACACAAATGGCAACATATTTACCCAACATTCCACCTTGTACATTTCCCATTTAAGAATGTATCTCGCAGATATTTCCATACTGATACATAAAGACTTCTTCATTCTCTTTCATGGCTGTGTAGTATGATTCCATCGTAAGAATGCCCAGTGGTTTCTTTAACCAGGCCCGCTTATGAGCCTTTTCTTGTATCCAGTCTCCTGCTATTCAAACAATGCTTCAACCAATAGCTTTGTGAACACATCAGTCCGTTTGGAGAGACCGGCAAAGCTGAGATGTGTAGAGACAGCTAACAATAAGGAAGAAGAGCAGGGGCGACCAATATCAACCACAAAGTGGGAGCGACCACAGTTCCCAGTGATCAGCTCTGCAAAGGACTCCATCAGCTTTCACCACTGAAGAAGCCAACGGCCAGCACAGCCGCCGTGGACTCCTGCAGAGTTCACCAGTTTTGGGCCCACAGGTATTCACATTCGTAGACGCCAGCCACCTGAGTCCCTTCCCCTCCCACCCACCAGAGTCTGGGATCGGACGCTCTCTGGCAAGAAGCCCAGGACTTTGTGGCTGCATGAATGCAAAACACCAGCCTAGACCCTCTCAGCTGACCCTCACCACCATGAATACACTCGGGGCCAGTTCCTCCAGCTGTGCATCTGCACACAGCCAGCCGGACGCCTGCCACCGGCCTCCATTGTCATGCACCGTTCATCACCACAAGACATGCTTTACAAGAAATGATTAAATGAGTTCTTCAAGTTAAAATGAAAGGACAGTAATCAGTAACATGAAAACATATAAAAATACACAACAAACTGTTAAAGATAAGCATATATTCAGATTCAGAATACTCTAGTACCATAATATGGTGGTGTGTTAAGCACTTAAGTCTACTATAAAGCTTAAAGAACAAAAGTATTAAAAATACCTATGGCTACAATAATTCATTAATAGGTACACCATATAAAAAGATGTAGGGGGCCAGCCCTGTGGCGCAGCGGTTAAGTGCGCACGTTCCACTTCGGCGGCCTAGGGTTCGCCAGTTCGGATCCTGTGTGTGGACATGGCGCTGCTTGGCAAGCCATGCTGTGGTAGGCGTCCCACATATAAAGTAGAGGAAGATGGGCACGGATGTTAGCTCAGGGCCAGTCTTCCTCAGCAAAAAGAGGAGGATTGACAACGGATGCTAGCTCAGGACTAATCTTCCTCAAAAAAAAAAAAAAAGATGTAAATTGTAGCAACATGAACATAAAAGGGGGAGGAAAAGGGTAGAGTATTTGTATAAGATTGAAGTTAAATTGTTATCAGGGTAAAATAGTTATATATATAGGATGTTTTATGTATGCCTCATGGTAAGCACAAGGAAAAACCTACGGTAGATTCGCAAAAGATAAAGAGAATCAAAGCATACCACTACAGAAAATCATCAATTCATGAAGAAAGCGGGAAGAGAGGAAGAAAAGAATAAGAGAACTACAAAACGGGAAGCAAACAATTAAAAAGAGGGTATTAGTAGTCTTGACTTATGAAGAATTACTCTAAAGGTAAATATATTGAATTCTTCAGTCAAAAGACAGGAAGTGGCTGGCTGGATAAAAATTCAAGACCCAATTATATGCTGCCTACGAAAGACTCACTTCAGCTTTAAGGACATACATTGGCTCAAAGTGAAGGGATAAAATATTTCATGCAAGTGGAAACCTAAACAGAGCAAGGGTAGGTATAGTTACATCAGACAAAATAGATTTTAAGCCAAAACTTTAAGCCAAGAGACAAAAACGTCATTATATAACAATAAAAAGGTCAGTTCCTCAAGAAAATATAGCAATCATAAATATATATGCACCCAACATTGGAGCACCTAAACATCAACAGATTTGAAGGGAGAAATTGACAAAAATACAATAATAGTGGAGAACTTCAATACCCACTTTCCACAATGAGTAGATCACCCAGACGAAAAATCAACAAGGAGACATTGGATTTGAACCATACTTTAGGCCAAATAGAGCTAAGAGACATGTACAGAACATTTTATCCAATGGCAGCAGGATACACATTCTTCTCAAGTGCACGCAACTTTCTCCAAAATACATTATATGATAGTTCACAAAACAAGTCTTAGCAAATTTAAGAAGATGGAAATCATAGTAAGTATCTTTTCCAAACACAATGATAAAAAATGGAAATAAATAACAGGAGGAAAGCTGGGAAATTCACAAACATGTGGAAATTAACAACACACTCATAAATAACCAATAGCTCAAAAGAGAAATTTTAAAAATCTTGAAACAAATAAAACTGGAAACACAGCATACCAAAACCCATGGAATGCTACAAAAGCAGTTCTAAGAGGGAAGTATATAGTAATAAACACATTAAGAAAAAAGAAAGATCTCAAATAAACAACCTACTTTACACCCCAAGGACCTAGAAAACCAAGAATAAACTAAGCTCAAAGTTAGCAGAAGGAAGGAGATAAAGATCAAAGCAGAAATTAATGAAATAGATAATTTAAAAATAGAAAAATCAATGACACTGAGTTAATTTGTTGAAAAGATATACAAAATTGACAAACCTTTAGCTAGACTTAGCAAGAAAAAAGAGAACTCAAATAAATAAAATTACAAATGAAAGAGGAGATATTACTTTTTAATTGTTTTCTGCCTGTTTTGTAGTTCTTTTATTCTTCCTCTCTCTTGCTGCTTTTCTTCGTGAATTGATGATTTTCTGTAGTGGTATGCTTTGATTCTCTTTATCTTTTGTGAATCTACTGTAGGTTTTTCCTTGTGCTTACCATGAGACATGCATAAAATATCCTATAGATATAATTATTTTACCCTGATAATAATTTAACCTCAATCTTATACAAATACTCTATCCTTTTCCTCCCCC